AATCATTGAATCATGGATTGAATCATTGAATCACGGATTGAATCATTGAATCATAAGATTGAATCATTGAATCATAAGATTGAATCATTGAATCATAAGATTGAATCATTGAATCATAAGATTGAATCATTGAATCATAAGATTGAATCATTGAATCATAGAGTGAATCATTGAATCATAAGATTGAATCATTGAATCATAGAGTGAATCATTGAATCATAAGATTGAATCATTGAATCATAAGATTGAATCATTGAATCATAAGATTGAATCATTGAATCATAGAGTGAATCATTGAATCATAAGATTGAATCATTGAATCATAAGATTGAAACATTGAATCATGGAGTGAATAATTGAATCATAAGATTGAATCATTTAATCATAAGATTGAATCATTGAATCATAAGATTGAATAATTGAATCATAGAGTGAAAAATTGAATCATAAGATTGAATCATTGAATCATAAGATTGAATCATTGAATCATAGAGTGAATCATTGAATCATAAGATTGAATCATTGAATCATAGAGTGAATCATTGAATCATAAGATTGAATCATTGAATCATAAGATTGAATCATTGAATCATAAGATTGAATCATTGAATCATAGAGTGAATCGTTGAATCATAAGATTGAATCATTGAATCATAGGATTGAATCATTGAATCATGGAGTGAATAATTGAATCATAAGATTGAATCATTTAATCATAAGATTGAATCATTCAATCATAAGATTGAATCATTGAATCATAGAGTGAAAAATTGAATCATAAGATTGAATCATTGAATCATAAGATTGAATCATTGAATCATAGAGTGAATCATTGAATCATAAGATTGAATCATTGAATCATAGAATCATAGAGCTTATGGAGCTCGGCTCCGAACCATTACAGCCGGCTCCGAGCCTATGGAGCTGTCTCCCAGCCTAAGGAGCTGGCTCCGAGTCTAAAGTGCTCGGCTCCGAGCCTAAAGAGCTCGGCTCCGAAACCTAAGGAGTATGGAGCCTGGCTCCGACCCTATGGAGCTACCTCCCAGCCTAAGTCGTGTTGAACATATCAATATAGCGGGAAGCTTATTAAGAATAAGGAAGATAAAGAAGATAAAGATAAGTAAGATAAAGATAAGAATAAGGAAGATAAGAAGATAAGGATAAGGAAGATAAAGATAAGATAAGGAAGGAATCATTTATAGTTTTTTACGGCGACATGTGGGTGTGATGTAGGGTCGATGTAGGGTCGATGTAGGGTCGATGAAGGATCGATGTAGGGTCGATGTAGGGTCGATCTAGGGTCGATGTAGGGTCGATGTAGGGCTATAGGAGTATATAAACCATGGCGAATTAACAATTAAGCCAAACGTCTCTTATTACAAAAAACATTTAAATTGTTGTGCGTAATTTAAATAAAATCAAATACATTATGCTCTAAGAAGTAGACCACATTAACGTTGTAAACGTCTCGAAGATCGAAATAAATGTATTTTAAGACTGAATTCTTGTGTAAACCTCTGGCTGCAAAGCGCTCCTGTCCTGTGTAAACTGCTTTCTCTCTTCCAATATAAGCCTCCTGATTGTTGTGTTTCCAAACAGCACGGATAACCCGCGATGCCCGCGCAAACCTAGCACTAAAATATAGAACATAACAACGTATATAACGACTACATGTCTTTATCGCAAAATATATTACAACTGTTCCAATTCTAACTTATATTCTTGATCAGCTTACTTATGATCTGACTCGGTCATCTTAACAGTATATATGTATGTAGAGGACTTGCTAAATAATGTTGAACAACATGCAAATATTGCCCTTCACAACGAGGTTGACAACCCGGGATTAGCAACTGTTTAGTTCTGTTTAAAATATGTCTTGATTTTTGTGACGAATAGATTCCTCTCTATAATTTTGTAAACATACGAAAAATCCATTCATATACATGTGGAAATTTATCTCTTTCGAGCAAACATACGGCTATAACTCTGCTATATATTAATAATATTGACCTGAACAACGACGTTGACAACTCGGGATCGATTAGCAAATGTTTAGCTCGGTTAAAAATATTTCTTGATTTTTGTGACGAATAGATTCCTCGCTATAATTCTGCAAACATACGAAAAATCCTTTAATATACATGCGGAAATTTATCTCTTCCGAGCAAAGATACGGTTATAACTCTGCTATATATTAATTTCGATAACAATTTGCCTTGTGAGGGACTCGAGCTATTCATAGCAAGCCAATATTAATCCCTCTTTTGTATCACACACGTGGGGGAACGCTAAAAAATGCCTAGTCAGCAAGTTTTGTCCGAACAGGCACACGTGACGTCATTACTTGCCTAAACTTGCCCGTGTGACGTCATTGTATATAATAATGACGTGTGCTAATGATGATGCGCCGTCCTGAATATTTAATGATGCGCTTCCCATCCTCCGTCCCAAAAATCCAGATTGATCGGCCCCCGGCCACTCTTCCACCCCTCCTCCGCCTCAAAAATCCGGCTCTCCTCCGCCCCTCCTCTGCCGCTCCTCCGCCCTTCTTCCGCCCCAAAAAGGGGGCCCGAACGGTACCTATATTACTACTATCGTACATGAAATTGAATCCAGCACACCTATTCGTTTTTCCCAAGGTGTCGCTGTTTTCAGATTGACACTTCCTCAACAAATACATATTAGAAAATTAAAATAATGCGTAATTTAAATAAACTGATTGCTTTTCTCAGATGGGCACATTCCGGAACGAATATATGCCACAAAATTAAAATAGCCGAAGTAAACGCGTTATTCACACGGCGATGCATTAATACCTGTTTCTTTTAAGCTCATTATTGTGAATCAAATGCTACCTCCTCCGCAAACCCTACAGCCCGTAATGAGTACGCCCGTTCGCAGGTCGAAATTTGAAATCTGAGACGAAGCTTCCGTTCGTTTCCCACCAATTTTATTTTTTATTTGAAAGGCCTGCGGAGGAGGTAGAATCAAATGTATAAAAGTGATCAAATGTTTTTGTTTCAACGCTATAAAAACACTCTTTGTTTTATGCTGTTTATTATATTTTCAAGAAAAATTCCCATTACATTGAATCTTTTACATGTTTTTAATTTGTCTAATAACAAGCAATAAAAATACTATACGAATTCTCTTTCAAGATAATTTGGAATCTCAAAAATAGAAAAATACACAAAATGGGTAAATATCAATCTAAAATCAACAGCGGAAAAATCACGCTCCTTGCGTAATGTATTATAATCGTGTGCAGTAATATGAGGAGAGATATAGTGTTAGAAAGCGCTTGGCCGGATTTTCATTGATGTTGATTTCAGTGAATAGTAATGTCCTTTAAAATGGTACCAGTTGACACCATCAGCATACGACTTGTGTGTCCCATAAAGATACAGACCATTCAAATTGGAGTGATGACATCTCTTATACCACCAGGCACCTTTGTACTCCCTGGCACAGTTGCTACCATTTTCATCATTGTCGGAATCATATGTTGAGAAAGCCATCCCTTTTTGGTACGAGAGAGAATCCCCTGCTGTACCTAAAATAATAACATAAATCTTCCATAAAGTTTTCTCTGCTAATTTCAAACTTATTATTTGTAGCCGTCTTTTAAACTCGCTCTAGAAAAAGGTTGAACCTTTGAGATAATGTAGGATCAATTATAGGCTTCGTCAGAGCTCCACCCCCCCCCCCTCCTCCGCCCCCCAAACACAGATTTTTCTTAAGGGCCAATTGTGTAATTATTTCAAAACTAAGGAAAAACTTTTCGTCGAAACCTCATGAAAGCATATATTGTAATATAATTTTAGTTGTAATTCAAAGATGGATTAGCGCTAACCGTGGGTTAAAATTGAGCCTGCTGCTTTAATTTATGTTTTTCTGCACGTCTGTTCCAAAGTTCCGACAAGAAAAACCATACTAATCCAAACAATATTTCTAAAGAATTATTTCCATATTTATAAACAAGCTGTTAGAAATTTGTTTTGAATTTTATGTTGGGTAAAGCTATTTGGCTGTCGAACAACCGGCCCCAGCAGGACAATTGATAAATACCTCAGTGGGGCCATGGTGCGGTTTCGAATAACAAAACCAATGCGGACAAAACCTGCTTGTTCGTTCAAGATGTATGGTAGTGCCCCACTATATTTTTTTATACACAATTAGTTGATACACTGACAAGAAATTTTGTAATTATTTGAATTATCAGTATTATTTCACATGTTATACAATAAAAATTTGTGATGCCTTAATTATATGTTTAGGATAGGTACGGCATAATTAAATAACTGATATTGTTTACATGCACTATCTCTAAAGTGTTCTCATTGGCATTTGTGATATATGACCATAAACTCAGTTAATTTATTTAATGAAACACTTACCATTAAAAGTTCCAAAACTCAATCTATACTGCTGCTGTTCACTAGCGATGGCAAAAGAATCATATTCTGCATATTTCGTGTTTCCAGAAGTGTCTTCCATGTCGACGCGAAGTTTGCTGTGTGAAGCACTTGTAATTCTATTGATCTTATCCAGTCCGAGCCAGAATTCACCATTCAGATAACCAAAGCCGTGTTTGTAATCTTTCCATCTTCGGTAGAAACCAACACTTCCATCAAGGCGACGTTGAAACACAGTCCAGCCTCCTCCTGATGTTGTCATATCACAGAAGACATTGAAAGTGCCCTTGCCATCTGGATCAATTTGATAAAGTCCACTTTCTGTTTTTCCGTTTTTGTATATATCAGCACAGTCTTTACCTTCTAGGTGAATGAAATATTTATCTCATACTGTAGAATTTATTTGGTTGACGAGATATTGAATGGTGTATTTCGCACTAACTGTAGTTATTTCATGCTTGAGTCGCTTTCTTTTGTTATTTAAGACCTTGTATCTAGCGTAATTACTCGTCCGTCTGAACGCCCGGGAGGGATTCGATTTTCAGCAGGGAAGAGCGGGGCTGATGTATGAATTTGAATTGCTCAATACACACATGGAGAGGTATATATCTAGTTGAATACCTCACGAATAGTTTAAAACAGGTATGTATCTAGATAAATACCTCATTAAACTATTCATGAGGTATTTAACTAGATATACAATATATATATATATATATATATATATATATATATATATATATATATATATATATATATATATATATATATATATATATATATATATATATATATATATATATATATATATATATATATATATATATATATATATATATATAGCTTAAGATTTTGGTTTACGAAACACAAACAGTGCTCAATACCATATATAGGTAGAGCGCAATATAGTTTTTCGTTTTACCTCAAAAAACCACAACAGTCTGATGATTCCTATACAGTCTGAAACAGACTGTTGTGGTTTTTTGAGGTAAAACGAAAAACTATATGTATATATATATATATATATATATATATATATATATATATATATATATATATATATATATATATATATATATATATATATATATATATATATGTACAGGGTGTCCCAAAAAACCCGAAAACTATTGAAAATCAATTATTGTTAAAATTGCATGCCCTATACCAAAAACTGAACGTAATGATACGTAAAATATTGACAAGGTGCATGTATTAAAATTTAGTTAAGAACATCTCCTTGTAAAGTACGCGATTTTCTGCTCTTGGGAATTTAAAGCAGCTTCTTAAACAGTTTCTTTATGCATAAAATTTACTTATGTCAATGACTTATACATGTACGGAATAGTGGATCCCCCATATAAGTGACGTAAGCATGATTGACGTTTGCATAAAAGAAACATTAAGAGCATGTTGATGGGGGGTCGTTTATTATTAGATTATGTGAGACGAGACAAAAAAAAACAAGTGATTTGTGAGCGTGAGAATTCTATATTTTTATACAAATAAATGTAATTTGTCTTTGTGATTTCTGTGGTTATATACCTGTTAACAATTTAATAAGAGAAGTTCGGTATATAAGTGGTGCCGTGACCAGGATTGAACAAAAAATCGAACGGTAATTTAAATATTTAACGAGTGATTTAACGACAACAACACATTATTTGGTCATGTAAATACGAAAATTTATCGATTTGTACGACGTGGAACATATAACAGTGAGCGAGGAGACAGCAGAAAAACAGAAGGAAGTTGAAATAGACAAGGAAATCGAAAAACTAAAGTACTATCTCGAGCCAATTGACGATATTATTGAAGAAGACGATTACGCAGAGATCGAAGTTGTAAAGAAACGAACAGACGCCATATTTGACAAGGTAAATAATCTTGTTGCAAGTGTACAAGAGCTTAAAATTTATCGAGGAGCTGAATTAACTCAGAGAGCAATACGACAATGGAAAAAGGACACGAAGGATAAGAACGCGCAATGGGTGCCTAAAATGAACAAGCTTTCGCAAATTCTTGAAAAAAGGCAGAGGGAAATTGACGACGAAGCAGAGCGACGTAAACAAAATGTGCAACGCGAGAAGGATGAACAACGTTTGATCGAATTACGAGAGCGAGAAAAGTTGATTTGGGAGGAAAAGTTCGCCGCTGAGCTGCAAATGACGGAAAGAAAAATCGAAATGGAGAAATCTGGGAAAAGCAGTCTAGCGAAACTTCCTCAACTGAAAATCACTGCATTTAAAGGAACTGCCGCATATTGGGTTCGTTTTTAGAATATGTTTCTCACACAAGTCGATAAAAGACCCATCTCAGATGAAGAAAAGTTTGGATATACCCTTGAATCAGTTCTGCCAAAGGTAAGAGATCGCATATCAAATCTAAAATCAAGTACCAGTTTGGGATATAAAATGGCATGGGATCGACTTAAGCAAGAATATGGCCAAACCAAATCGGTAATTAATGCACATTTGGACGAAATAATCAATCTAGATGCGGCGAAAGGGTCAAGCTATGAAAAGGTTCAGGAGTTTTTTGAAAAACTTAGCAATAACTATGACGCCTTGCAGACTTTGGGACAGGGAGATATGTTGCAAGGTTTTGTTATGACCACCCTAAATAAGTTGCCCCATGTCAAACCTGACATCGTGAGAGTGGATGAAAAGTGGGAAGATTGGAATATGGAAGATCTTATTAAAAATCTACAAGCCTGGTTGAGGAGAAATAAGGTAGATGTGAGTTCAAAACTCCCAAGTGATAGACGTAGGGATAGAAATTGGTTCACTCGCAAGAATGAAGGAAAACAAAACCCACATTGCATGTTTTGCCAAGAAGAGCATTGGAGTGATGAGTGTAAGACACTTTCGACAATGGAACAAAGAAGTTTTTCGTCGAAAAGAACTTGTGTTTTGATTGTGGACGAGCAGGGCACCGGGGAAACCAATGTCGTAGTCGTGCCTGTTTTAAATGTGGATCGAAACACCATACCAGCTTGTGTGACAAGAAGAAACCAGATAAACCAGCTACAGAGCCTGTGTTACATGGTTACAGTACATTTGTAGAAGAAAAGTCCCTCCCAGCCATAGTTCCTGTCAAAATAGGCGAAGAAACATTGTGGGCGTTTCTTGACACAGGGTCTGGAAGGAATTTCATCTCTCGGGATGCAGCAAAGAAACTGAAGTTAACTGCAGTTCACCATGAGAGATTGTAACATTGAATGGTATCAGTAAGCAATTTATGCCAATCTACCAAGTTAGTATTAATTCCCTGGATGGAACTGTGCAAGAAGAGATTCAAGTAACCGGTTTCAAGATGCGCGACTTCACAACAGTACAAAGACCCGACATTAGCCAGTTGAAACAGTAATTTTGTCATGCAAAGGATAAGATGTTCTACATGGTGCGTTCAGGCAACTATCCAATACACCTCATCTTGGGAGATAAAACTTACAGCAGAATCAGAACAGAACAAACGGGAAACTTCCAGCCACCCTCGGTGCGTCCAATCCCGGACTCACCTCCCTGCAAGTACGTTTGTTATAGAGACCAATGAGTGTGAGCAGCTTCACAGTTTGGATGTACTCGGTGTTGAGGACCGAAGCGAGAAAGACCAGATGGAGGTGCTGACTGACTTTCGAGAAAGTGTAACAAGGCAAGAGGACGGTCGATATGAAGTAAGTGTACCATGGATTCCTGGAGCCAGATTGTACGGTACTAACGAACAGCCGAGCAAAATACGCCTAGCCAATGTCAACAAGAAGTTGAGTAAAGATCGATCATTAAAAGTAGAGTATGAAAAGATATCCTTATCTTTATCTTCATTATTCTTATCTTCATTATCCTCCTGTTCTTTATCTTCCTTATCTTTATCTTCTTATCTTCCTTATCCTTATCTTCTTATCTTTTTCTTATTATCCTTATCTTTATCTTCCTTATTTTTATCTTCCTTATCTTCCTTATCTTTATCTTTTTATCTTCCTTATGCTTAATAAGTTTCCCGCTATATTGATATATTCAACACGATTTAGGCTGGGAGCCAGTTCCATAGGCTCGGAGCTGGCGCCCAGCCTATGGAGCTTGCTCCGAGCCTATGGAGCTTGCTCCGAGCCTATGGAGCTAGCTCCGAGCCTAAGGAGCTGGCTCCGAGCCTATTGGAGCTGCCTCCGAGCCTATAGAGCTGGCTCCCAGCCTAAGTTGTGTTGAACATATTAATATAGGGGAAGCTTATTAAGCATAAGGAAGATAAAAATATAAAGATAAGGAAGATAAGGAAGATAAAAATAAGGAAGATAAAGTTTAGGATAATAAGATAAAAGTAAGAATATAAGGATAAGGAAGATAAGAAGATAAAGATAAGAAAATAAAGATAAGAAGATAAAGATAAGAAGATAAAGATAAGAAGATAAAGATAAGAAGATCAAGATAAGAAGATTAGGATAAGGAAGATAAAGATAATGATAAGAAAGAATCATTCATATTTTTTACGGCGACATGTGGGTGTGATGTAGGGTCGATGTAGGGTCGGTGTACATGTTGGGTCGATGTAGGGTCGATGTAGGGTCGATGTAGGCTAGGAGTATAGAAACCATGGCGAATGAACAATTAAGCCAAACGACTCTTATTACAATAAAAAATTTAAATTGTTGTGCGTAATTTAAATAAAATCAAACACATTATGCTCTAAGAAGTAGAACACATTGACTTTGTAAACGTCTCGAAGAAATAAATGTATTTAAGACTGAATTCTTGTGTAAACCTTTGGCTGCAAAGCGCTCCTGTCTTGTCTAAATTGCTTTCTCTCCTCCAATATAAGCCTCCTTATTGTTGTGTTTCAACCCGCACACGCAATAAATATCCTAATCTACCCGTATTTATCCGCATTAGAAAATGCAAATCTCTGATAAAAGTTAATCCTTTAATTAGTTTCACATAGCAAACGGTGTGCTTTAATATAGCTTAAATTGATTCACCTTATCCGAGTTTTAGTACTTTAAAAACCTAGCACTAAAATATAGAAATCGCTTGACAATTATATATCATGACCTCTAACTTCCATGTGTTTATCTCTAGACAGCAATAAATGTATTCTAAAACAGAAATCTTGTGCAGACTTTTGCCTGCAAAGCCCGCTCTTTCTACCCGCGCGACCCGCCCGCCTGATTAGTGTACAAATATTTTGTACGTTTATATATGCATGCACCCAAGCGTCGCTAATGACTTAGCAACACATAACAACATATATAACAACCCCATATTTTTATCGCAAAATATATTACAACTGTTCCAATTCTAACTTATATTCTTGATAAGCTTACTTATGATCTGACTCGGTCATCTTAACAGTATATATGTATGTAGAAGATTTGGTAAATAATGTTGAACAACATGCAAATATTGACCTTAACAACGACGTTGACAACCCGGGATTAGCAACTGTTTAATTCTGTTTAAAATATATATGTCTTGATTTTTGTGACAAATAGGTTCCTGGCTATAATTTTGTAAACATACGAAAAATCCTTCAATATACCTGAGGAAATTTATCTCTTCCGAGCAAAGGTACGGCTATAACTCCGTTATATATTAATTTCGATAACAATTTTACCATGTGAGGGACTCGAGCTATTCATAGACATAGTAAGCCAAGATTAATCACTCTATTGTATCACACACGTGGAGAGACGCTAAAAAACCTACTCAGCAAGTTTTGTCCGATCTTGTTTAAGCTCGCTCGCCTGACGTCATTGCATATAATTATGACGTATGGTCTGGTTGAAGCGATGCACCTGGCAATTCATTATTTACGAAATCGGCAAATGTGGCTGGCTGACGCCATATAAGCTTTAATTAAAGCAAATGCTCTTAGGGCATTTAAAATTAAATCCATTGCGTCCACAAGATTCTGAAATGTAAAGATATTTATCATTAATTAAATGCAAAGATTCAAGCACAGTGAAACACTGATATTTCTTACCAGCAATTTCTCTGTAGACTTGTATAGATGGGTAAACTCTTTTTACATAATTTGATATTTTACTCGGCATGAATATGCATAATTATGCAGGGTATGTAATAAAACAAATCATATGGAGTGTATCGATCTAAAAGTCGAGCGTCGAGAGTCGAGATTATAGGTCTAGAGTCGAGAATAAAAGTCGAGAGTCGAGAGTAAAAGTCGAGAGTCGAGAGTAAAAGTCGATAGTCGAGAGTTATTTAAGCTTAATTATTCACGGTAGCCTTTTTTTCAAAGGCCCGTGCACACTTACTGTAAATTATTATAAAAATATTAAAATTTTTAACTATAAAACAATCATGCATAATATACTCTATTTACATAAACGTATGGTTTAGAAGGATGACCTCCCAATTCAAAAACACAAGCCATCTACAACAAGAACTGATGAAAGTTTCAGGTATTTCTATAATTGGAAGTTTTTCCATTAAAATTTGGTTCCATGAAACTGCTCCTCTATAGGAGAAGCTTCGTTTTAAAAAATTCGTCTTAGGTTTTGGTAGGTAAAGCTTTTGATGATTATTTCGTAGTTGGTAGGTTTGGTTAACGGAGACATAAAACATCTGTGTTAATTAAGTATTCTGGAGCCATACCCCTAAGTGCTTTAAATGTCATCACTAATTCTCGCTTTTTTAGTATTGATTGTAGTTTTGTCCATTTAAGCAGAAGATCGTTCTTCTAAGCCCGAACTGGTATTTTTTCGGCGTACATTTTATTACCATCATACTATATAGTTGAATAATAGTTGAAATAGGGGAGCACAAATGACTTGTACATCATCTGTAGTGTTGCTTGAGGTACGTAAGGCTTCACTTTTCGTAACATTGCTATAGAACAAGAAATCTTTTTAGTTTGTTTTTCAACTTGTTCTGTCCATTGTAACTTATCGTCTATTTCTAAGCCTAAGACCTTTTTCTTGTAAACCCGTTTGATTATATGATCTCTAATTTTAATAATAGGGTCATTTCTGATCTGTTTTAAGCGCTTTCCTGAGCCGATTAGCATATACCCGGCTTTTTCTTCATTTAATGTTAATTTGTTTGCATCCAACCAAGTCTTAACGTTTTGGATTTCCACCCCCAATTTGTATTCAATTTCAAAAGAAGACTCTCCAGTTGCAGTTAAGCTTGCATCATCAGCAAACATGGTGGGTTCAGTTATTTCTAAACTAAGTTCTTTGTATGTTTGCATGGTGATAAAATATAATAGGTTTTGTTTGTGGGGGGAAAAAAAAAAAAAAAATTAAAAAAAAATTTAAAAAAAATTAAAAAAATTTACGTGGTGTTTCCACAAACAAAACCTATTATTTCTAAACTATTTGGCGGATCATTTATATAAATTGTAAACAGGAGTGGCCCAAGGTTAGATCCTTATGGCATGCCGCATGTAATATTTTGGAAGGTTGATAGTGAGTTATTTACTTTGCAAATTTGTTTCCTATTACTAAGATATGACTGAAACCATGACAGTGCTAATCTACGAATCCCATAACATCCCAATTTCGATATGGTTTACCGTGTCAATAGCCTTTTTGAGGTCCAGAAATAGGACACCATTAATCGAACCAGCGTCCATGTTTTCTAACCAGCTATTAGTTACATGTAGTAATGATGTTTAGTTGAATGATTTGCACGAAAACCAGACTGAAATTTGGAAATTATTTGGTGGTGTTCCAAATATTTCATTAATTGTTCATGTACAACTTTCTCAAATACTTTGGGAACTATAGAAATGACAGAAATCGGCTTATAATTATCGAATAGGGTTTTTTCTTCTGATTTGTGGATAGGTGTTACTTTTGGCAATTTTCCTGTCATCTGGAAAAATTCCAGTCTCAAGAGATTGGTTAACCTGCAATAGTTTCACAGAGATTTTGTCATAGCCCGATGATTTAGCAGTTTTTATTTGCTTAATTTCCTCCCTAACTTTATCATGGGATATAGTTTGAAATTCGAAAGTTGTGTGGTGTAGATGTTACAGTAAAGTAAAAATCGAGAGTCGAGAGTCGAGTAGTAAAAGTCGAGAGTCGAGAGTAAAAACTCGAGAGTCGAAAGTAAAAAGTCGAGAGTTGATCGAGAGTAAAAAGTCGAGAGTCGATCGAGAGTAAAAAGTCGAGGGTCGGCAAATGTCATCAGAAACAACAAAGTCAAAATATTTTTAACCATGTTTAACACAGTCTATATATAGCTTTACACAGCCATTCCGTAACAAGTACCAACGGCTGAAATACAAACTTTCCAATAAATATTGCTACAACAGTCAATAATAATAACGTGAACAAAAAAGATTGGATAAGAAAATAATATCGCATTTGATGACTCAATCTTGCCATATGTTTTCACATTCTAACTGACGCATAAACTCCGCTGAATTTTGACAGCCATCTCCAGGCTTGTAACTAAAATGTCACTTATTCATTAACGTACGTTTATACCAAACGAGAGCGTATTAAGAAATCCACGTTGATCACAATCTAACGATTCGTCATTCATACAATTGTGAATTCATAAATACGAGCCAGTAAAAATAGATTCTTTTGTCGTATATGTGTGACTCTATCGGGTGGTAATATGTCTCGCACGTGATTATAAAGTCCTAGTATTTATATGTAGCTTCACTTGAGTAATTTTTCGCGAAAATACGGGTGCATGTAAAAGCGGGAAGGATGGACAGTAATATATAAGGAAGCGATAAAACTAGTTATTAGATAATAGTTATTATTATTGAATGTTGTGGCTAAATTTTTGCGAAAGTTTTCGTTTTGTATTATACTGGATTATTCCTTTGATTGTATATGCCTCTTGTTTACTTTAATTTCGAGAATTTGAGCATACTAAATTAATTATGTTTCGCAAATATTGTTTGCTTTATGTTCCGATACACAGGAAATGAAATTAGTTCAGCCGTCATAGGCGTACTAGCCTGCTCACAGACGTTGTAGTCACGCCAAGCGACGAAATACTACCGTCTGCTTACCCGAGCGCCAAACTGAATTCCGCTACGTCGACCAATCAGAATTTACCTTCCAAATTCTGGAAAGTAACGTCAGTTGATTTAGGAGTGGAATAAATATAAATATATATTTTGAAAGCAGTCGTCGGTTGAATTTTGGTCAAAATTGCACATAAATTGAATTTAAAGATACTGATACTTGTCCAGGTAATAAAATGCACCATTAATGATCAGATTTGGATATTAAAGATGTTCGGTTATATTTAAAACGTGGACAGGATTGGCATATTTATACTGTATGAAATATCCGGCTTATATAGTCAGACAGCATATGCCGAATATATTTCGCTGAAATTTTAACAGTTTATCTTTATAAGACAACAGAACTCGGAAGGCAGAAAATTTTATATTATACTGTGGCTTAATTAGAAAGCAAAATGTTAGCTTCAAAGTAAACTAAATTGCTGTTTGAGCAACCACTTCTGAATGTAAACTGTAAATACAACACAAACCCGAGACACTTGTATTAAAATTGCGCTGTGATGAATTTTCCAATTCGCCCAAACTTCGAAACCTTTATACTCTAACTTGGCTATACTTTTCTACATGACATTGAGAGCTTAATCTTTTAGAAGTTTTCGTCGAAGTCATGGCATATAGGAAGTATAAAGAACTAGTTTCATATTAATCTGACCCTGCAATCGAGCAACGGAAAATTCGTTGGCTCGAGCGGGATTTGAACTCGCATCTTCGGGTATTTAGACCGCCACTCTACCTATTGAGCTATCGAGTCAACCGGGATTGGTAGCGAGTCTTATCTAATTTAAGTGCACGAAATATTTTCGTGACGACTTACGCTTGTCTTAGAGGACGCGCAGTGTTTCAATTCTATTTCAGAACCATCCTCAGAGATACCAAAAACTAGTTTCATATTAATCTGACACTGCATCGAGCAACGAAAAATTCGTTGGCTCGAGCGGGATTTGACCTCGCATCTTCGGGTATCTAGACCGCCGCTCTACCTATTGAGCTATCGAGTCAACAGGGATTGATAGCGAGTCTTATCCAATTTAAGTGCACGAAATATTTTCGTGACGACTTACGCTTGTCTTAGAGGACGCGCATGCAGTGTTTCAATTCTATTTCAGAACCATCCTCAGAGATACGAAAAACAGTGTCAGATTAATATGAAACTAGTTTTTCGTATCTCTGAGGATGGTTCTGAAATAGAATTGAAACACTGCGCGTCCTCTAAGAGAAGCGTAAGTCTATTATTATTATTATTATTATTATTATTATTATTATTATTATTATTATTATTATTATTATTATTATTATTATTTTTATTATTATTATTATTATTATTATTATTATTATTATTATTATTTAAGGAATGGGAAAGTCCGGACTTGTTAACTATTTGAAATATCTGATTGTCTTGTATATTTATATATTTTCATGTATTCTGTCTTATCATTTTTATTAGTTCATATAGTTGTGATTCAAATAGCCAATTGTAAGTTACCTTAAATTAGTGAGATTTACAATTGTATATATATAGTATATAACAAAATTATTAAAGTTTCCATTATTATTATTATTATTATTATTATTATTATTATTATTATTATTATTATTATTATTATTATTATTATAACCGCTACGTTCTATCCAAAATATCCTGGCATCTCATTGTTGCACCCCTGTCGAAACCTGGGTAACGGAAACAATCGATTCTATGATTAATCAATACATCAGAAAGTGGCTTGAAATACCCATTTCTGGAACATTAAGTAATATTTATTTAACCCATAACAAATTCGGTCTGAATATCCTCCCTGCATCCGTCAAATTTATCCAATGTCAAACTGTCCTACGCAACGCCTTAAAAACATCCCCAAATGATTCCATAAAAGAACTCTGGAAATCAACTAACAATCACACTAATATTCAGTATGACATATATAATTCAACAAAGGAAGTTCTCAAGGATTTTCATTCTGGACAAGAAGATAAGCTTCAACACCGTTTAATTTGTCAAGGTTCATTTTTCTCGAATGTTGCAAAGTTTTCCTTTTCAAAGTTAAACACACTTTGGTCTGCCGCTCAATCAAAACTGCCAAAGAACATTTTCAACTTCACCGTCCGTTACCTAAATAACTCTGTTCCTACGCGAAAAAACCTTACAAGATGGGGTTTAGCTTCAAGTCCCGAATGTTCCTTTTGTTTGTGCCCTGAAACCCTATTACACATGGTAGCCGGCTGCCAATCGTACCTTCAGCGCTTTACTTGGAGACATGATTCTATTTTAAACTTTCTCGCTGAAACGTTACAAACAACAAATCCATGTCAACTTTATGCTGACCTATCCGGCCACAAAAGCCCGTCAATTATAACTGGTGACCTATATCGACCGGACTTACTCCTAATTACCCCCAAATGAAGATCTTTATGTCGTTGAACTTACTGTCGGGTTTGAATCTAATCTACATAATAACGTTGAACGCAAAAAAGCTAAATACAAAAAGATCTAATTGAAGATCAAAGGGGTCACTTTAATTCTGTTAAATTTGTAAACCTATCAATGAGCGCTCTCGGTGTGTTTGACAAAGAATGCTTCACCTTTTCAGAAATGTTAGACATTATAGGAATGGATAAAAAGGCAGCAACATTACTGCATAAAAAAGATGACGTCTTATGCCATTAGAGCGACGTACTATATTTTTTGCTGTCGAAACAAAAAGTGGACAAACCCTGAATTGTTAAACATTTAAATTAATAACTACATATAACAATATATATAATCATATACCCATTTTATTCTTGTTTTTACTGTAAATAGTACATATGTAGTACTCTGTGATTCATGTAGCCAATTGTAAATTACCTAAGTCTCTAGTGAGATTTACAATTGTATATATACGTAAAAAATTCAATAAAGTTTTCATTATTATTATTATTATTATTATTATTATTATTATTATTATTATTATTATTATTATTATTATTATTATAAAAAAAAACAACGTAAAACGGATAAATATAGAGAATTATTGAGACAGCTAGGTAAAAATTTTAACCAAGTTAAATTTATAAATCTCTCCATCAGCTCTTTAGGTATTTTTGCAGAAGAATGTTATACATTTTTAGACATGTTAGATAGTATTGGTCTTGACAAAAACCACCAAATGTACTGCGTTAAGGAAAATGATGACTATTGCTATTAGAACTACATATTACATTTTTTGTTGCCGAAATAAGGAATGGGAAAATCCGGATTTACTAACAATTTGACTTATCTCATTGTATATATATATATTGCATGCACTTTGTTCTGTTATTTTAGTTTAGGGTATAATTGTGATTCAAATAGCCAACCGTAAGTTACCTTTATGAGAGAGATTTACGATTGTATATGTATGTAAAGAAAAACATTTAATAAAGTTTCCATTATTATTATTATTATTATTATTATTATTATTATTATTATTATTATTATTATTATTACTATTATTATTATTATTATTATTATTATTATTATTATTATTATTATTATTGTTTGCAGAACATGCGAGAAGATGATCACAATATTATTCTACGTAAACATCGTGAAGTTTAACGCTATAATTTCCCGCAAAATATATCCACGCAAGTAAACAAATTTCAAGTTTCAACCCAAACAATATATTCCAATGCATGTGCAAGGGCTTTCCCCAGTAGCTAATCTCTCAATAAGGCGGCTTCCAATTGGCTCTAACTTTTTTGGACACTGCCCGATGATTGGCTCCTAAAACAAAGGGAATTGAATATGCAGCTCGGGTAAGCAGACGGTAGTATTTCGTCGCTTGGCGTAAGAACTACAACGTCTGTGAGCAGGCTATAGGCGTACGGGCGAGGGGGGGGGGGCAGTCCCGCCCCCCAGTCAAAATAAAGTCATGCAAATTATAAACGTATAACGGGCAAAAATTGGGGGAAATAAATTTTAAAAGAAAACAGTACATATACCATATTGCATGTACTGTCTTCTTTTTAAATTTATTTCACTCCAATTTTTGCCCGTTATACGTTTATAATTTGCATGACTTTATTTTGACTGGGGGCGGGACTGCCTCCCCCCCCCCCCTCGTCCGTACGGCTATAATCAGCCGTTGTTACGGATCGGTTATATATTGTGTTAAAAATATTTTGACTTTGTTGTTTCTGTTTACTCTCGATCGACTGTCGACTTTTTACTCTCGATCGACTGTCGACTTTTTACTCTCGACTCTCGACTTTTTACTCTCGACTTTTTACTCTCGACTTTTTACTCTCGACTTTTTACTCTCGACTTTTACTCTCGACTTTTACTCTCGACTTTTTACTCTCGACTTTTTACTCTCGACTCTCGACTTTTTACGCTCGACTCTCGACTTTTACTCTCGACTTTACTCTCGACTCTCGACTTTTACTCTCGACTCTCGACCCTCGAGCTCGACTTTTAGATACACTCATCATATGTGTATCTGGCAACCACGTTCTTGAACCCTTCGATTGTTCATACATGTATCAAAATCCTCTTCGTGATACGCGCTTGAGCAAAAGCTACCCATATTTTTGCAGGCTCTCTATCGAAGACAGAAACCGCGACATGAACATGTCGTCTCCATTTCTTCCAGCGAAATGCTTTCTCCGAGTGCTTCTGCTATGACAGCAACAATGACTCTAGCAATGTGTTTCGACGAACAAATAACCCAAGGAAAGGTTCATGATTACTTTGACACTTCCAAAGTTTATTTTACAATGCCGAACATTATATTTAGAACACGTACAAATGTACAATGAGTTGCGAGCTCGCACCTTTGCTGCGTCGGCCTCTTCTGAATGTTTCATTAACGAGGCACACGAAAGAAAAATGCCGAATTGATTCCTCCTTCATTTTTTTAATATAATTTGATTAGTGCATAGCCGTCATAGTACTTCATATTATACAATTGAAGTGGATCCAAACCAAAACAAAAGATGTAAACATAGCCCGCACATGCGCAGAATGGACTGTAATCTAGCTTTAAAAATTCAAGGTACTTTTATATAATTAAGAGTCGTTTCTCTATTTAACCGAACAGCGAACAAAGATTTAATTAGTCAGCTCTGTGTACGGCTTGACTGTCAATGTTTCTCAAGGTCTCAACTTGCTGGACGCGGATATACTCTAACGGGCTAACAACAGCAACAATGAAATTCTCAATCGTACCACGAAGAAGACGATATAGCTCAGAAAACAACGTCGGTAGGATCTGATATTAAAAATAGGACTTTTGCCAGCGAAGCAAGTTGGCAGAACATCTTGGCTGTCAACAACAAGCTTTCGAATACATGACTAGTTTGGCTTCTTTCAGCGTCGTGTGTCCAAAATTCGTCAAAGATTTTGATAAGGCCCTTTCAAACGTGCGTCTGACCCCGCCTTTATATTAATTGTCGCCTTGAGCCCTTGACCGAGCTATTTTTAAAACTGTTGTTTATGTGAACTTGCAACCAATCAAAACCTTTCATGATGCTATTCAACCAATCAGATTTCCCGTCCACCAGATGGACGGAAATCCCACAGTTTAGACAGATTTTGTGCCAGGCACTATTCTGTGATTAAGGCCTGAACTTGGTCGCATTAGCCTGGGCACAAGGTCGAGAGAACGGCAAGATTGAAATACCGCCTGCCCTAAAACTGCACATTCTGAGTTCTCGGGCAGCTGGGTGACGGAGTATTCTGATTGGTCAGAATGTTGATTATGAATTTTTGATTGTGAGAAAGTTACATATTTCGAGGTAAAATCATTTTTTTATATAGTTACAAGTTCTTAATTACTTTGTGAATATTCTTTTTTTGCCAGTTAACGTATTGAGCCTAAATAGTTGATCATGATTGCTCATTACATAGATTAAATTAATCTGCATTTATTTTGTATTTTATTTTGCATATGCAACTGAAATATATTGAATTCTATGTAAAGAAGTCCATCCTGACACAGTACTATTTCTTTCCAGAAATGGAAATGATTTGATGAGCAATTGCCACAGGACATGTTCATTCAAATTGTGTTCGTGTTCGCGTTCGTGTTCGTGTTCGTGTTCGTGTTCGCGTTCGTGTTCGTGTTCGTGTTCGTGTTCGTGTTCGTGTCTTTGCTCGTGTACTTTTATGTCCATCGTCATTTACCTCTAACATGCGTGTATTGTAAGTTTGCTTGTTGCGCATTTAGTCTCTTTCTTGTCTCTTTCTTCGTTCTCTTCTTCCCTCTCTTCTTTTAATAAATGCTTTCAGATCAGAGAGAAATAACTTGCGGCATCCCTCAGGGAAGTATACTTGGCCCTCTTCTGTTTATTATCTATATAAATGATTTGCCAAATTGTCTCAAACATACAACATCAAGGATGTTTGCAGACGATACCAGCCTTACAGCTGTGGGCAAAACGTTAAATGAAGCAGAAGAGATAGCGAATAAGGATTTGAAAAATATTAAAGTATGGTTGTCTTCAAACAAACTTAGCTTAAATATTGCGAAAACGGAATATATTTTGATTGGTTCACGTTCTAAGATTAATAGCATGGATGTCCAACCCACAGTTAAGATCGACACATGTCCAATCAAAAGAGTAAAAAGCGCAAAAGTGCTAGGAGTTGAAATCGATGAGAACCTAAATTGGGAAAACATATTGAATATATCGCTAGTAAAGTATCTTCGGGGATTGGTGCGTTAAAAAAACTTAAAGAATTTGTAGACCGAGATACATTAGTGCTGGTGTATAATGCATTGATCCAGTCGCATTTTGATTACTGTTGTGAGGTTTGGGATGAGCTTGGCAAAGGCCTCGGCGAACGTCTTCAAAAATTGCAAAATCGAGCGGCTAGAGTAATTATGAATTTTAAAAATGAGCATGGACAGTCTATCTTAGCTCGTACTGCTCTTGGTTGGACATCCCTTGAAAAACGTAGAGCATTAATGAAGGCCAAACTCATGTACAAAACAGTAAATCAACTAGCTCCACAAAGACTGTGTAACATTTTCCAATCTTCCAACACTGTAAATAGTTATAATTTAAGAGGTTCTTCAACTGGGCTTTTTATTCCAAGGCCCAGGACAGAATTTTTTTAAAAAAGTTTCAGTTACAGTGGGGCTAAATTATGGAATAGAATAGTCCAGAAAATATTCGAAATTCGATATCTTACAACTCGTTTTGTAAAAA